CAATGAGCAAATTGTGTTGAAAAAATATTATCAGTAAAGAATTTTACAATAATTTCATATCATTAAGTATTATCATGATAAATCTTTAAGTCCTGACCTTGGATTTTTAATACATTATACAAGAGACTTATTAGATTTTTTTATTTTCAAAATGTTTAAAATATTTACGGTGTACAATATGTATCTCATAATATACATGGGCTACCACATTTATGTAATGATTACATTTAGTATAGCCCCCTTGATAATTGTAGTGCATTTAAATTTGACTATATAAAGCAATTAAAGTCTTGCTTAAGAAAACATGAAAAACCATTACAACAAATAATCAATAGGTATCGTGAAAGATATGCTAATCAATTAATAACATAAAATCGGCAATAAACAACTGCTTTACCATTATTTATAAATATGCATGATAACGGCCAATTGTTAAACACCATAACCGGAACTCAATACCATTCTATAATATTTAATAAAATGAAAATTAATATTAAAGATGATGAAGACAGTTTTATAATTACAAAAAAAAAAAAACAAATTGTTACTGTATGAATTTTATCCATAATGATAACGAAGATAACGAATCATCTTTGGTGATAAAAAGTACAAGATAGTAACTCTATATTTTGTGGATCCTATTGACTCTACTGTACTTGAAGTATTTGAAGGTCAAGACTTAAATGACAGATTGTATAGCTAAAATGTTTCAGAAAAAAAAAATTATGATAATAAAAGTTAATAGAAAAAAATATAGCAATGGCTATTATCCATACAGAAATATAATTTTTTTTTTTTAACATCGAGTACTTTCTATAATTATATATATTTTGTAAATAATAAAATAATCAACCATCAAATTGTTAACCTAGTAATATTATCATACGCTTAAGCCAATTATGTTGTCTATGGTCTGTTTAGTACATAATTTATGTGAATACCTATTGGGCTACTTAAGGTATAAATATTGAAGTATTTAAAATTAAATCTAAATATATGTAAATGTGTTTTCGTAATACTTAAATTTTAATTCTACACGAGTGTCAAAGTAGGTTAGAACTTAGTTTCATTTACTGATGAGTGATAATGAAAGTATTGAAGGAGTCCCAGATATTTGGAAGAAGAAAAAAAATCATGTGTTTGCCCTAAAATTGGAAAACATGCTAAAAATTGAATTGAATAGTGGTGCAATACCAAATTCCAACGAGTTTAATTCTTGTAATGTAAGAGCATTGGGAAACAAAACATACAGTTGAGTTTTATTTGTTGATTTGCTAATTATTTTTTATTTTTCTTAATAGTATACCTAGTAATGTAAATTTCCATGGAAATTATTTAGTTGAAAATTATGAAAATTTTATGATTTCCCATATTAATTTCTTATTAAACAAATCCATTGATAGTTAATATTACAATTAATTATTTACATTAATTTACAACGATCAATTCGAATTTCAAAGTATCAAACACATGCGAGAAATTCAGATATAAAATTCCTTATTTTATATCTGTGGTTAATGTGTTATAGGACGCAGATAATTAGATTATCATAGAATTTTTAATTATTTTATTAGTTGTAATTTATTATTTACAAAAATATCATACAGAGTTTTTAAATTAATGTATATTAATATTATTAGCAGTTGTCAGAAAATTGATAAGAGATTTTTTTCTGATTCTGTTTGAAATATTGCCAACGTTGAACAATAAAATCTTTGTGTAGACATTTTCACTATCAAAAAAAAAAAAAAAGTATAAATAATGTATTTATTTTTTAGTGCGCCGATTTTCTTTTTTAAAATAATTTATATATATATCATAATACATTTTGTACAATGGAGTATTTGATTGATCACGATTACATGTTACCAGGCTGAGATTTATAAAGCCAAATTATCTAGAAATGTTTTTCTCATCTATCCGAGTAATTACAAAGACATTAATAATAGACATACTTTTTTACAGTAAGTAATTAATGATATTATTAAACATATTGCTAGCTTCATTGTTCGTAAACTAACAACTAAATTAATTTGTGATGATTTCACTAAAGTTTCAACTCGATCCCATTCTGAATCTGGATCATTAATAATCATAAATAAACAGAGTGGATTAACTATTCACTAGTGAATAATTAATTTATTATGCATGGTTTTCGAGCATTAAGCGTTAAATTATTACATAGGAAAATTATTTTATTTTACGTTGGTAACAGCACTTATAAAAAAAATGATTGTATCTATATCCTTATAAATTTTCTGACAACTACCCTGTACCCGGTAATATCATAGATGTCATAGATTTATTACCTATGTTATTATGTACTGATTATCATTTATATTAGATTCAAGCCATAAACCTTATACCCTTATACCAAATGTCCCGTATTTAAAAAATATATCCCGTATATAATAAATTATTATTAGGATACACGATAGATAAATCCCGTTTTATTAGCAAAATTCAAATAAATCATAGTTCCCAAACAATGGCCCCTTTATTTTATTGGTCCTTAATGGTTCACTATTTTAATCCAACCGAAGGAATTAAAACAATTTGAAAACTTATAGGCGAAACAGTTTTGCAAATTTGAATATTTCAAATATTTTGATTAAATGGAGCATGAAAAAAAACTTATAGCGTTTTCAGCTGATAACGTCTATGGAAATCTGTGTCACACTTAATGGAGGGAAAAATATTACGTGATATTATGATTGAAATATTCATTTCAAATTACAATCATGCTTTGATACATTGGAACTTAATGAACATTATTGTAATTTATAATGAATTGTACCAATAAAAGTATATTATCAAATGTTAATATTTTAATATAATTCACTATTATTTATCATCTTTAGAATATATAGGTTATAGGTATAGGAATTCAATATACCTAATATGGATAAGAAGACAAAATAATAAGCAAATACAAATAATTCATAATATCGCAAATTAATCGGTAGTCATCAATACTTAATAACTTTAATAAGCTTTAATTTAATGCTTAGATAAATTTAAAAAAAAATGATATCTAATCCAGATATCAGTGTTGATCGAAGTGATCACAAAGGGAAAAACTGCGAAAAATTGTTTTCGACACACTGATTTGAAGTCGGAACCCCTAGAATGACAATAAGTATGAAAAAACTATTTGATTAAAACAATTATTCTTTTAGAAGAAACATATAGAGTTATTTAACATAACATATAATATCCGCATAATATCAGAACTTTAAAAAACTATAATTTCGAAACCTAGTCAGTCTGCTTAATTTTGACTCCACCATCGTTCTTAAATAGGCAATATACTAATGTTAAAAAAAAAAATTGGAAAATAAATTTGTTCCACATAATTTGTCGTCAAAATTTAACATTAAAATTTCCTTATAAGAAAAAAAATACTACTTTAAACTCAATTTTTTTTTACCACAAAGTAAGACTCCTAATGAACCTCCTGTTCAATTTTGAAGCATTTCTGTTCAAGTCTAAATATTTTACTACAGAGTACCTACCGAATAAATATTACGTACAAAACTCTTAAAATTAAAATTTCTATAAATACCTCAAAAATAGATTAAATTGTTTGAAAATTTACCTCGTTTATAAAAAGCAAATATAAGTTTTCTGTCCAAATTTCAAGCTCTACGAATTTTTTTAACTGAGTTACAACAAATAACGCAATTGGAAAATAATAAAAACATTTTATTATTAAAGTAAATTTATGAAAATATCCCGTTTATCTTATGTTTTATCCTGATTTTTCTCAGTTTTATAAAAACCTTATGGAAAATCAAAAAATGACCTCCAAAAAGTACCATTTGGACAACATTCCCTTTCAGAAATGATGCCACGCATAAATATCTGAGCAATTTTTATACAAAGGATAAAAAAATAAAAAAAAAATAAACATTTACTGGTAAAACCAATATATTCTTCGCTACACTCAGAATCTAAAAGGACAGACAAACTTCACACGTGGGTACAGTCACTGTTGTAGGTGGGAAGCTGGGAAGGTAGGATACAGACGGGAATTTAATGTGCATCTGTAAGCAACGATAAACCATTGCTAACGAAAAAATGATTTTGAGTCGAGTTCAGATAATGTTGCTTTGTTAACAATACAATATATGGTATTATGTCATATTATGGTAAACTAATTAAAAAAATTTCGTTTTCATGACAACAATGATTGTTTAAAAAGATTAAAATAAAAACAAAAAAATAAATAAAAATGGTTGTCAATGATAACCTTATTTTTAATTTTTCAATCTTTTTTAACCTAAAGAACCAGATTTTCCTCATTATCTCGAATTTCGTAAAATTACTTTTTTAAAGTACTATACTTGATAATCGGCGCATGCTTTCTGGAAGAAAGTGTTCACATAAAAAAAAATTAAACATCATTGTAAAAATATACATTTCTCGTTCCTTTTCAGAATTTATAATACAGTAAAAGTATAAAGCAGAAATAAAAAAAATTCCACTCTAAATTTTATTTTAATTAATACTCAATTTATTTATTGATTTTTTAATATAGGTTGCCATTTGAAAATTAAAAATAGGTAGTTGTTTTACCCTAAAAAATAACAGTGAGAAAAAAATAACACAAATATAAAATTGTGGAGCAGCTTATTTCTTAAATGTTCTAGAAAACAAATTCCGAAAAAAGTTAATTTTCTGAGAAGTGTGTACCCACTTAAATGAATCACCTGGTTTGTCACCAGCTAGGGACTCGTATCAAAAATTAGAAACAAAATGATTACTATACCTAATTTATAAAATATTTTTATTGAGATTCTTCTATGTAAGAACACTTTTAATTGGAAATATTTTTCTGTTAAATATTACCTAGAAAATAAATAATAACAAAAATCAATTTGTTTTATACTGATTTTGTGTAACTTGCATTACCTACCGATTTCTGGATAGATAGGAATATAGGTTATTATGATCCATTAACAAAATATTTATTCAAAAACATATTTTATTTTTATATACTTAGGTAATTCACATGATATATTTGTATTATATATTATTGATATACATTAAAATAAAATGTGTTTAATTTACATTGTAATATGTAAGTATATTATATTATATACACATATAGTATTTGTGTAGTTCTATATTATTCAAAATACATTTTAACGAATGAACAGTTTTTTTTTTTTTTATTGAGTACATATTATTAAATTTTAACAACAATATTTTTGTTTGCGAAAAGATAATAGAGATAAGGTATATTATAGATATACACAACAGTGGTAAAATATACTTTTTAGAGTATATGTCACTCGATTGAAAAAGTTTGATTTGTTCAGTCTATTGTACTCATATATAATATCAAACTATGCAATATCATCGGTAAAATGTTTTCAAAACATTAAATTCTTACAATTTTCTATTGTCATACACAATGTACTAGTGGATATAATATATATTAATTTACACAAAATCATTAAATACACATTTTACAAGATAGATAAATGTAAAAAAAAATTAAAAAAAAAAAAAACAATATTATTGCTTTTTTTTTTGAGTTTTAAAAATAAGTTGTTTTATTACTGTATTTATCAAAAGCTAAATTTAATTATTAATATTTAAACTAACTTGAAGGGAGGGGGCATTTGAGTAAATTAATTGTAAACAGATTATATTGAACGCATACAAAAATGCTGTGTTATGCAACAGTATTTTTTTAAATATAGATTCATGTATTATAAATACTTTTTTTTAATTTTTTACCTATAACTACAATAGATAAAGAAACTTCAAAAATAATAATAATGATAATAATAAAGGAAAAAAAGAGAATCCATCCACTTGTTAGAGCATTTTCATAATAATTGTAATCTGAGATCTTAATAATATAATATTATGTAGAAATGATATAATTAAAATAAAATACAACATACATAATGCATAATATGTATGTATACAGACTTAATATTAAATTATAATCATAAAAAATAAAATACAATATGTTGAGTTGCTACAAAAAAAAAAAAAAAAATATATATATATATATATATATATTTGTATCATAATATAATATAATTTAAAATTATTTATAGGTACTTTGCCTACTGTACCTTAAAATATACATCAGTCAGTAAAATATCATAATTATTTTTATTCTCCTTTAATTAGGTAGGTAATTAAACATATTATATTATCATACATAATTCCTAGCACTACATATTGCCTTAAACTATTTATTGATTTTTATTTAAAAAATTAGTTACAGTATAATAATATTAAAACTGGTACCATAGCAACAACTATCTTAAAAGTATTTTATATTATATAGGTGGGGTGTAGTTCATTGAGTGTAATAATTGGAAGTTAATTATTTATTTCAACGATACAATATCATAACGATGTTCACAACAATTGTACACATAATCATGAACATTTTAAATGAACCGTTTTTTTTTTTTCTTTCTAATTGAGCAAAACAAATACATATATGTTATATTATATATATATATATATGTTATATTATATATATATATACGTGTGTTATAATATTAAAAATAACATACCAGTTACAAATAGAAACAAAAAGTCGATTTTCCTCTTTTAAAATTAGGCCTAATATTAGGTAACCTATTTTTGTACAATTGATCATTTTTTTTTTCTTTTTACATTTCTATTTATGTAATTTAGTTTTTTTTTTTTTTTTAATTTTTATTTTAATAATACTTTTTTATTTTTCTTAAAACTAGAACTATTATACATTTGGTCTTAAAAAAGTTAATACACGTTACCATACAACGCTTACATACTATTAATGTGTACAGAATATACATTATTATAAAAAAAAAAATTATATGCATAAAAAAAAAATATATACCAGGTATCTACATCTAATATCTAATAAGTAGAGTATAATGTAAAAATAATAATAGTTATAAAGAAATCAAATTAAAACTTCAGGGTTCTATTTACGAGGAGAAAACACACTCTTATGTCAAAATTTTAACACATAATTAACAAAATCAAAATATTAAAATTAAAAAAAAATATATGTATATATATATATATAATAAAACAGTCTTTAGTTACAAAATAAATAAAAGAAAAATAATTTTTCTTTGATTGATTAAAAATATTATATTGCTTTAGTGAACATTTAGAACCAATTTACTGCCATTTTAAAATGACATTGAAGACAAGGATTTATTATTTTATTTTGTAACTACAACTGTTAATTTTAAACCTTAAACACAGAAATTAAAGCAAATTAAATATTATTACTTTTCTAGTGTTTGTTAGTATAATTTGTAAAATCTCACATGTATGTATAATGTAAATCAAATCACGCAAAAAAAAAAAAAATCAAAAACAATATAGTAATAACAAAAAAAAAAAAATAATAATAATAATAATAAAAATAATCACAATACATACAAATTATTCCTGATTGCACAAATACAAATGGGGTAACATACACTTGATGTGTATACTTAAATGTAAATTGTACAAGCAAATGTAAAAAAGAAACAAAATAAAAATTAATTTAATTTTAAACAAATCTTTTATAAAAATGTACTTTTATTAATCATTAAACTCGAAGCTTGAGAAAATGTTTTATAATGCATGTATTCATTCAAAAAAAAAAAAAAAATAAATAAATAATAATTGAGAATATATAACGTGAGACTAAAATTGCTAGGAATTTATAAAAGTGTCAAACAAACAAACCAAGATTATTCAAGTAAGTCGATATTGCAAAATAAAAATACTAAAAATAAATAAAAGTTTTGAATAAAAACTTAAATGATATTGCTCGAGTTCGTTTGATCCAATCACAGTCAACACTTGTAGAAAAAATATATATATATATATATGTATATATTCAATTAAAATTTAATAGCCACTTTGAAAAATAACAGTATAATCATGTTATTCTCATGAGTCTCAATGTGATATATGGTGTGTATTTTATATTATTTTTTCTGACCTCAGTACAAATATAATATTATAATTTAGTCATGGAAATTTGTTGCCATTTGCACATTATACACGTTATTACAAATATAGTATTATTTGTTGGTCTTTTACTCTATGATTCAATGTTACTCATTGAAGGTAAATAAGTTTTAAAATAAAAAATAATAATATTAATGTTTAAGCATGGTTTTAGTATAGTTTAGAGGTAACTTCACCGATGACATAATTTTAGCGCGGTGCTGTTTTTTGTCTGACCGGATCCGTATGAATGCTGATAATAATTAGGTATCACGCATCATCTACGGAAAGGCGTCACCGCGCCATGCCCTAGTCACCCGAAGCGTTCTTTCACAAGGAACATGAGTTTTTTCTTGCCCTTGTATGCCAGTTTCATATTGTCGAGCAATTGAGCAAACTGTGCGTGGCCGTCATGAGCTAACAGAAATGTGTCCCTTGCCTTACCAAGGAATTCGATAAAATCGGCGTAGTGTCGGGGCGAAATGTGCGTGAGTCGAGAGTGCGTTGTGTTAACATACGCTGCTACAGCAGCTTCCAACAGGATACGTAATGGAGCCCGTTCATATGACAAACCTTTCATCATACTGCAGCGTGATGAACTGTTACTATTGTTTCGGTGATGGTGATGATGATGGTGGTGGTGATGGTGATGATGGTGTTTACCTGAGCCAAAACAAAGTACATGTTATTAAATTATTATACATCTAAACAAAAAAAATATTTTAATTATTGACTATACTTTATTATGACAATGACAAATACAATTAAAAATAAACAAAATATCACTTATTTTGAGAAAATAATTGTAATAAAAAAATTGTTTCCTGATTCTGTACTTTTATAGTACAATAAATAAACACATAAGATCGCAACGGATCTTTTCATTTGTTTTTCATACTTCCATAATTTTTTATGGGCATATTATCTTGATTTTGGATAAATTTATTTAAGTTAAATGTGTATAAGATTTATATTAGTCCAAGCTATGGTTTTTTTTTTTACATAATTTGTTTTGTTTTAATTTTAATTGAGAGTTCGAGATGATAATATAAATTTAAACAAAAATGTTTTTGTTTAATTTATTTACATAAATATTAACCAAAGTGGAATACATTTGCAATCGTATCTATTACATACATTAAGTTTTTTAAATAATAGTTTTGAAAATTTTATGCAAAATTACTATGAATTCATCCAAATAAACGTATATTATAATAACACGTAGTTGTTTAAATTACAATATAAATATAATAATTATATAGATAAATTTGAAAAAAAAATAGTTCACAACTGGTCTTTTGTAAATACTTTTATGTGTCATTATTTATTTCTAAAACATTTTTACTGAATTATTCATTTGGAAATTAGAATAAATTGTTATACTATTGAAAAATTATTTAGCCTCTAGCTGTTCACATTTTTAATTTTAAATTGTTAATATTTTTCTCTATAGACAGAAAAAGTTTAGAAATATGCTTTGAAATACACTATTTACTACACGGGGGAAAATAAAAATAAGTTGATTGTGTTTTTATTATAAGCGCCTCTTTCACATCAATTTACAAATATTACTTAACAAAAGCAAAAAGAATAATCTAGAGTAAATATAAGTGTTGGAACTTACTGGTATCGGGAGGGGGTAATGTGTGAGCACAAGTCATGCCCGGCGGAGTCATTGAACACCTGCGCAATATGTCAGACAGTACAGTGGCACACTGCACATTCTTAACCAATAACGGGATCATGGTGGCCAATTCGTTTTTGCCCAAAGAGTGACTGAGCGCACAGGCCCAATGTATGTCATTGATAGCAGGATGAGTGTCCTATGAAATGATAAACATTGTTAATTATTACTATTATCAGCTGTACTATAATTAAGCGACAAACAGATTTGCAAGTCACACAACCACCAACCTGATTGTACGCCAGATGGACGTTCTTCATTGCTAACATGGCTAGTTTGTAAGCCCGGTTTGGGTATCCGCGGTGTTCCATGTAACGGGCAATTGTGAACAGCTGTGAAGAGGTCATAATGTGTGAAGCGGCATCTAATACTATCTGATAGGCAGCTTCAAATGCCGTTGCGTCGTTCTCACACAATGTTAAAGCGTTCAGAGCACAGTTTGGAGGGTCCTGTAAACAAAATATTAATATTGTTATGATCGAATTCACAAAGCACTTTCTAAAAAATAAAAAAATATCGCATTCATCAAAAGAATAAATACCCAATGTACTATTATTTATTGTATAATTGACTTTAGAATAGAATGGTACTATTCTTCCACAGATTCAAATTGGTTCGATATTATATTTCTGTGGTTTGAATCCGAATCGTTTCATATAGATTTGTTTTTCTGTTGGTGTGGGTTAATATTAGACAAATAGTCTTACCTTAGACGCGCATTGTAAAGCCAAAGTGCGGGCATAACTCGATAGTTTTTCTTGGTGTTCAAATGAAAGATTCAACCGCAGCATGGTGCTATGTGACATAATGGTTGTGGCGACAGGTCCTGCAAAACAAATAAAAGGTATTAATAATCGGTTATGATAATGTTTTAAGGGCTAAAAATATAAATACCTGTAGCTTCGGTGGGAGTAAACAATTGAAACCAATTTTGCATTACGGATGTCAGGGCATCCATACCGACTTCGGTGGCACATGTCACCAGCCATCGGACCATTTCTCGTCTTCGCCAGTTCAATGAAGCCAGGGTAATACGCATTACCTACACAATAGAAAACGAACAACTTTATTATAATATTTATTTCCAAACATTACGATAGGCTTAATAATTATCGGGCCAAGGGATGTGATATTTAGTATCCGAAAAACAAAATCTAATCAATTATAGACAGACGTACTTGTAGTCCTAATTCGAAGGCGACGGTTAACAGCGGAGGATGTCTCGGTCCGTTTTCTGGCGTAGCAAAACGAAACGCGTCTTGAGCCAATTTGAACAGATGCGACGAACTGTGTATGTGTCGTTGAGCGGATTCTAGCACTGTCCTCAGCCGAAGTAGTTCTCCTGAAGAAGACGAGAAAACAGTGAAAATTCGGTGTCCATAAAAATAGACGGAAAAAACAAATAACTAGAATTCGTAAAATTGAAAACGGACCTTTGGCGGCGCTTAGCATGGTGGACGCTAGAGTACACTGTTGCGTTTCTATGTGGCCCAGCGTAAACCATCGAGGATAGCGGTTCAGCATGACGGACGAAGGGTTGCCGTTAGGATTGTCCGAATCTTCGTGGTCTTCTAGGATCGGCAATCTGCAAACGATATATGCTATTAAAATATAGTATAGTTATGACCGTAAAACACGGGCTAAAACGACTCTACCCGCACCTAATCTTAAGGGGGAGAAAGATGAATACTAACCACTAACATTCCAGGTGTGATTATCAGATTATATTATACTAAAACGTACCTCATGGCCCGTAAGCCGACTTCGTAGGCCAGGTCCGGGTAATAGTCGAGCAGGGCGACGAACAGGAAACGGGCGAACGTGTGCATCGGTATACTGTCCCTGTGTACGCCCAGACCCAGGCCGCTGGTCGGGCCACCGTCCAAAAGCACGATGGCCTGCCGGCGGAGCACGCCCACCAGATTGGTGTCCATGTCCAACTCTTGTAGTTTGGCTATCAGCCTGTCCTCTTGTTTGCACGCCTTCTCCTGTACACACGCAAATAACATTTTTATTTTTTTCGTTTATGTATCCAAATATACGAATTTTAAGTTTAACACGGTGGCATCCGATTAATTCTGAGGAATTTCTACCTCCCCCCCCAAAAAAAACAAAACCAACGCGTCAAGAAGAAATATTACTTATACCACGTAAAAATATAATATTTCCATTTTTCATATTTCCGGTTCCATATTTGTTTTAGTGCCTTGTTAAAAAAAAATAAAGGTTTTCCGGGGCCTTATTTTATTCGTTCTTATTCACGTTTTCCCCCGGATCGTACAAATAACAAACATGCCATTATTACAAACGCAGATTATTATTAAGTTTAATTACTAATTGCTATTTATTTCCAAAGCGTATCTCTATATTTAGGTCGTAGTCTTTCATCACCGTAGCTCGCGAAAAAAGGTCTCGTCTCTACTCGCCTGGAGAGATTAGAAGTTTGAAAAAGTGAGATACGACCTTTTTCGCTGCGGCAGGCGATTATAATAATAATATATTATATTCGATATATTTTAAACGCTGACAATCGGACGACGTTGAATAATATGCGACAACGACGGGGGAGAGAGGGGAGAGAGGGGAGAGAGAGATAGAGAGATATATATACAGAGAGAGAGAGAGAGAAATATTATATTATATACGGGCGAATGATTGATTCAAACATCGTATTATAATAATACGAGTCAAACGATGTATACGGGAAAAAAATA